AGCAGTACCGGTTCTCCAATTTTCTTTTTTCTCTCAGATAAAACGGATTCGGGTGGCTGACATGGTTCATTTTTACAAAACTTTTCTTTATCCTCTATTCCGAACTTCATGCCAACAAGTAACGCGTGATCATTGGTTTCATTCCCTCCATCATTTACAATTGCTGGATTTCTCCGGAGCATGCACTGTTCAATGATGATTGTGTCTTCTTCTACCCGATTCGGTATTGATGTATTCAAAGCTTCGTTAGGAACTGGATGTCCGGTTTCAAAGTCAGTAATTCTATCGTGAAATCGGCTGTCATTAAATTCTTTGATGATTCCACCATCGGCAAATGAATCAGGATCAAACTCAGATGCAGTTGCTACACCAGACACTGCAGATTCTTGCACGTCCATCTCGTCGTCCCAAACGTTCCCTTCACTAACTTTGTTAGGATATACTAGTATACATATGAACATATAAGGATAAATTAGGAACATTGTTGACATTCATTGATAAAGAATGACACGTGACCTTAACACGTGAGAACATTATTGAAAAACGTTCGTTGTTCGTTGCATGTTTTGTAAAAGGCATATTTGTAAATATGAAGCCATTTTAAAGCGTTTTCTTTCAATAAAACCATAAAAGTTAACAGGTTATGGGCCCAGGAGATTTCACAATGGACAGTCAAACTATAAAGTGGCTATGTTTCACTGGTTTAGCTGAAGATTATCCAGCATGGAGTACGAAATTTATGGCGTATATGCAAACAAAAGGTTTGTACAAGTCACTTCTCGATAAGGAAGTTTTAATGCCAGAAGTCACTCCGTTCACCGAAGCAGCCACAGCCGATGAAAGACCAGAACGGGCAGCTCAAGTAGAGCAACGAAATCAACAAATTAAAGAAATCGACAAGCGAAAGAATAGCGTTTGGTGTCATATAGCGTTAGCACTAGACAAAACAAGTCTTATGTATATTCGACATGATTGTTTGTCCCCAGATGGAACGGGTGATGGAGCAAAAGCGTGGCGTTTATTACAGCAACGTTATTCAAACGTGGAAAAGCCTACCGTAGTAAGTCTAGTGAGATAGTTATCGCGTTTACAGCTCGGAGAAGATGAAAAATTACACGAATATTTTATACGTTCTCAAGAGCTTATGTCTAGACTATCTGAAGCTGGTGAGAAAATATCAGAAACACTGTTTAATGCATTAATCATTAATGGTCTTCCAGACAAATACGAACATCCAGCGTCGACATTTACTGAACTAAGAACCCGACTGCAAAAATATGAAGACAGTCGAATACAAGGAAATCAAACGGAAGATAATTCGTCAGTGGCAATGCATTCTTCAAATAGACAAGTTAGAAATAAGAGTTCGACACCACAGACGAAAAATTGCTATGTTTGTGGAAATCCAGGACATTTCGCAAAACAATGTAATAAGAGGAGCTCAGCAACATGTTCCATATGCAAGAAAAGAGGTCACTTGGCAAAAGCTTGTAGAAGTGCTGGGAAAACAGAAAAATCTCAAGGAAAAGAACCACCTGCAGTCTCATCTTATTCCAATTGTTTCGTAAGTCCTTTGCAAGAAGAAAACAATGGCTCAGAATATTCAAATTGTTTAATCGTGGACACTGGTTGTACAGATCACTTCTCAAATTCATTAATAATTCATGAGTAATTCAGCCAATGATAATCACCTATTTGATCACAAGATGCCATTTGGATACTTGATGAAAGTCACTAGTGTTTTCATCAAATATCTTAATTACGCATGCAAAATTACTTGAATAGAATTCCTAATCACGTTATGCTTGGTTAAGAATTCTATTCAAATCAGCAAACGAAAACATTCTGTTACGTCTCGATTCATTTGAGAAGCCATATAAACAACTCGAGCTCGTGTCTCACTGGGATATCCAAACACTCGAAAACAATGTATGAAAACACTCGCGCTTCGCGCTCGTGTTCTCATACATTGTTTTCTCGTGTTTGGATATCCCGGTGAAACACTCGCTCTCGTTGTTCATATATTACATCATAAATCAAAATAATGTCTTTGAAAATCTACGTCCTTGTAATGAAAAGAGTGTTAGAGATCCCAAAGGAAACCTCACCTCACACCTGTTCAAGGAATTGGCGACGTGCCAATAACGGTCCAGTTAAAGGATGGAAAGATGGCAGGCTATGTACCAAGCTATGAGGTAAACCTCCTTTCAGTCAATACAGCCGTTAGTTTTGGCCATAGATTCATATTTCACGAGAGTAAAGCAAGAATGGTGTTGAATGATGGTCATGAAATTAACTTAAAGAAAGACACTGGTCTGTTCTTCCTAAAAGTCACCTTTCGAAACCTAATCGACCCAGTCACTTGCAACACGAGCAAAGGAGATATCACAGGAGATATCGGTTTATGGCACAAACGTCTGGGGCATCTCAACAAAGTTGATGTAGAGCGTACCATTGGATGTAAGAATAACTCGAAAGACGTATGCGAAACATGTGCAATGGGAAAACAAGCAAGCAAACCAGTACCAAAAGAAGTACAAACCAAAGCTCAGAAAGCTCTCGAACTTGTTTATTCAGACATTCTCGGTCCTTTCGAAGTAGCTAGTCTAAATGGGTCAAAATATGCAGTTACCTTCATAGATAAATATACGAAGTGTTCAGTTGTAAAGTATATGAGTAACAAGTCCCAAGTTCTTTACAAATTCAAAGAATACGTGGCGGAAGCAGGAACACCCCAAAGATTACGGACAGATAATGGGGCAGAGTATACAGCCAAGCAATTTAAAGATTATTGCAGAGATTCAAAGATAAAACAAGAATTCACAGTTCCTGAAACACCACAGCAAAATGGAGTCGCAGAACGCTTTAATCGAACTTTAGTAGAAATGGGATGGTGTTTACTCATTGAAGTAAAACTACCAAAGAGTTATTGGGTAAGAGCTTTAGCTACCGCAGTCCACATTCGAAATCTCACAGCAGGCATAAACAGCAACCAAAACAGGAGTCCTTTTGAACTATTCACTGGTAAAGCACCAAGAAGAAATCATCTTAGAGTATTCGGTTGCACAGCTTATGTAAGGAAAAGAAAAGTCAACTTACGAAAGCTCGATTCCAGATCTGTGAAAGCAAAATTCCTCGGTTACGATGACAAGAGTACAGCGTACATTTTACAAGAGTTTTCTACAAAGAAAATCATCAAAGCCCGTAACGTTCTCTTCAAAGAAGATGAAATTCAGTCATTCTCAGCAAAGGAGAATTCTAGACCAGAAGAGTCATTTTTGGAAAGTCCAAACATTGATCTGGACAATGAACGTTCAAATGATCAAACCACCGAGAAACCGGTCGAAGATAAAGTGGAGAAAAATAGAAAAGTAATCCCAAATACACATGATCAATTGGAAGATTAAGAAGAAACATCAATTCCAAGAGCAAATAGAAACAGACGACCTCCCGAAAGATACGGTAACCCTTTTACTTTCAAAACAACTCAAGAAGAAACTGTCACAGAACCAAAAACGTACAAAGATGCTGTAAGATCAACACAAGCTAAATATTGGAATCAAGCAATGCAAGCAGAATTCGAATCGCTTGAGGACAATAAGACTTGGACACTTGTTCGAGAACCGAAAGATAGAAAAGTTTTACCTGGAAAATGGGTATACAAAGTCAAGTATGGAGCAGATGGTCAAATTGATAAGTACAAAGCTAGATACGTAGCAAAAGGTTTTGCTCAAGTCGAAGGCTTGGACTTTTCCGATACTTACACCCCTAAATGCAAACCTGAGACTTTCAGAATATTGTTAGCAATAGCAGCACAGAAAGATCTACATCTTAGTCAAATGGATGTAAAATCAGCTTATTTTCACTCAACAATTGAAGAAATTTATCTTGAGCAACCCGAAGGTTTTGTCAAGCAAGGAGAAAACGGACAGAGACTAGTGTGCAAATTAAATAAATCTATCTATGGTCTTAAGCAAGTAGCAAAGAATTCGTATGAAGCACTAGCAAACCTCCTCGTCAGCAAAGGTTATCAGCGAAGTCGCAACGACTATTGTCTCTTTGTAAGGAAAGAAACAGATGGCACGTTTTCGTACGTACTTGTATGGGTTGACGACATCATAGTAGCAGAAGTCAACGATGAAATCATTGATGCAATCAAATCGATGCTAAAAGAGAATTTCAAGATGGACGATCGAGACACTTTACACTGGTTCTTGGGAATGCGAATTTTAAGATTGGAGAACATGATCACAATAGATTAAGAGAGATACATTGAGAGCGTTCTTGAACAGTTCAACATGAGTGATTGCAAGCCTATGGCAACTCCTGGAGAAGTCAATCTCAAGTTAGTTAAAGCCAGCGGAGAGTACGAATTAGTTAATCCGAAGTTATATCGAAGTCTAGTTGGATCCCTTCTATACATTGGGAAACAAACACGTCCTGACATTCTTCATATTGTCAACCAATTGTCGAGATTTCTTGAAAATCCCGATACAGTATGTCGCATTGGAAAGCAGCAAAACACGTCTTAAGATATCTTAAAGGTACAATTAATCTACGATTAACCTTTCTTAAGAATTCCAACGTTAAACTTATGGGTGATTCAGATGCAGACTGGAGTGGTGACCTGAACGATCGAAGATCAACAAGTGGCTACTACTTCAAATTTGAAGGCGATGGTGGAGCTATAAGCTGGGAAGTAAAGAAACAGGCGACTGTTGCGTTATCATCTACAGAAGCAGAATATCAAGCTATGGCGGCAGCAGTGCAAGAAGCAATCTACCTTAGAGCACTAATGAAAGATTTTGGTTATCCTATGAAAGAACCAATCGATATTGGAGAAGATAATCAGTCGTGTATCAAGATGTGTCATAATCCAGTAGTGCACAAACGATCGAAACACAACGATACAAAATTACATTTTATCCGAGAAAGAGTTGAAAACGAAGAAGTAGGAATCCACTACATCCCAACTGAAGAGATGACAGCAGACATTTTAACAAAGTCTTTACCGGGTGTTAAAGTAGAGAAACATCGTTGTGTTTTATTAGGGGACTTATCCAAGTAAACCAGACTCATCATAGACAGTGTTAAGCTGAGCCTGAGTGGAGGTGTTAGGATATACTAGTATACATATGAACATATAAGGATAAATTAGGAACATTGTTGACATTCATTGATAAAGAATGACACGTGACCTTAACACGTGAGAACATTATTAAAAAACGTTCGTTGTTCGTTGCATGTTTTGTAAAAAGACATATTTGTAAATGTGAAGCCATTTTAAAGCGTTTTCTTTTAATAAAACTATAAAAGTTAACAGTTAATAACACTATTAATAATGGATAAATATAATGCACAAGAGCCAAGGATATTAATACTATTAACAATGGAAATATAACATTATTATGTATACAATAACAACACTATTATATATACCATCACACTATTAGTAATGGAAGCGCATAACACTATTATATATCCTGTCTGTCTGTATAATGTTTTTTTAAAATTGTCAAAAGCTACATATCTTGTTAGCAGGTGAACTTATTAATGAACTTACGATACTATACAAGGCTATACAACACTATACAATGTTATACAAGACTATACAACACTATATAAGGCTATACGAGACTATACGACACTATACAGCGTTATACAAGACTATACGACACTATACAAGAGTATACAACAGTTACGACACTACACAATAATATACAAGGCTATACGACGCTATACAACACTACATAACGTTATACAAGACTATATAACAATATATAAAGGCTATACGACACTATACAACACTATACAGGGTGTATAAAAAAAGCGCAACCTCGGAATTTCCCAAGAAATCGACATTGTTTTAAAGACAAAAGATTTTAGGCGCCTGGGAATTTAAAA